CGTATTTCAATATATTTTAAGAATCAAATGTATGGACATTTCTTTCTTCTAGAATTCTTTCCATTAAAGTGCAGCTCATTCCTGCATCTTCCTTTTACAACTTGCTTTATGAGAATTATCCACTTTGTATAATCCTAATTCATTCTTAAATGCAATGTTTCCATGCTTTTCTTAAAATACCAGGGTTCCCCACCTGTCCGTTCTCCATATCTTTGATATTCTGGAGTAAGTTGCATCATGAGTAGCTACCATTCAGAGCAAAAGCAGTTTTCACACTGCATTGTTATAACAGAATAAAACAAAACCAGTCCAAAAACAAAACTGGATACACCAAAAATACAATCAAAAGAAAAACCTCACACAGCTCAGCTGTTTTAATAAGTAATAACAAAAGCTAGTAAGATCCTCTGGAGAAGTTATTATGTGCAGTGTAAAATTTACAAACTTTTACTCACAGTCATAGTCTCACTTCATTTAAAGAAAATGAAAACTGTCTTACAATATATGCAGATGGGTTTGAGCCATTTCCACTCTTCTTGCACTGACAGATCACAATGCAGAACGTGCAATTACATTGTAACTCTGATCTAGAAATCCTTTTTCCTGACATAGAGAATCTAAAGCACCAGGTCTCAGGGTAACTATGGGACTTTCTCATTCCCGCAGAAAAGTGAGGAAAAGCAAAACCTGGTTAGTGACACCTCTCTACCTTTGGAGGAGCTAACTCAGACCTCCCATCCCACGTGTTTCTACCCCCAAAGGCAACTCGCAGGTCTCACAGCAAAGCTAGAAACACACACTCACAAGGTTTCTTCGCCTCTCTGCTAGCTCAACAGGTTCACACTCCATGAGATGGGCTTTTACTCCACCTTTTCTATTACAGAGTTCACCAACACCGTATCTGTTTATCTGCTCCAAACAAACCAGTAAGGGAACAGGCCTGCAGAAGTTAAGTGAGAACTCTTCAGCAGCTACCTTCCCCCTGAGCCAGTGCTGTTTCTGGCACCATCTGTGTTCTGAAAATCTGTTCTTTAGCAATTCACTAAACATGGAAAAAAATATTTGGAAAGCAAATTTCTTGAAGCATCTTATACACCAAAGAAGCTAGCTATAAAATGCTTTAAGAGGAAAAAAAAAAAAAAAAAATCACAACTTTTCCTTCTCAGGAAAAGAACCCTATACCTGGATTCTCATCATGTTTAATCAGGAACTGAGCCTGGATGCTTCCACTTTAAATAGATTAGAAATCACCACGCCTAGACCTCCCTTCTGGAGATCTCATTGTTTTATCCTGCAAATGAATGCTTACAAGCTAAGAAAGACAACCTGAGGTTATAAAATTAGGAGTCAAAACTGGTATTGTGGAAGAGACTGTAGTTCCAGAAAGGGTAACAATAAAGCTCTCAATGTTTCTGCAGAGACCATAAAGCCAGGGAGCTGTTTCCTATGAGAAAGAGGCAAGATGGAAGAAGCAGTACAGCAAACCCACCTCTTGGCATGCTTCTTAGCATCAAATTTGTGCTTCATATTTGATGAAGGAGAGAAAGGGAAAAAATACATATACCCACCCACTGTCACTAAAAGGGGTGAACTAATTGTGGCTTTGCTCCTCCAAACAATCTTGATAACAAGCAAAAGTACTTTATTTAAGAAATAAAATCTGTTAATGTGCATAGCCTCCAAATTACAAGATTGGTAGAGCCACCTCTGTGTGCACCTCATATGCAAGCAGAGGAAGAGGCAGAAGATCACTCCAAATAAGACCGTGCTTTTATAAACACACACACACATTCAGAGTTCTCAAGTCCAAACAGTCCAGTGAGGAAAGGGGAAACTGCATGTGATCTCCTGGATGAGCAGAGAATGTACTCCCAGGTAAGTCCCAGCAGTTCACCTCCAGCCTCAGCCGACGGCCAGAACTATGTATTCTTATTTCAGGCAGAGATGCTGCCCTCCTCCCTACCTCCAGTATCTCCCCCCAGCTGGAAGAGAAGTACAAGCATCCTCAATTCCCTGCAACCTGCAGGACCTCGCAAAAAATCTTCTTTTGAAGTTCAAACAAATGAACAGACAAGTTTTGTACAAACTTAACCTCGAATGCCTTGAAGTACATCAGAATAATATCTTTTACAGTTGCACTTTAAGAGCAAGCTTTTCAGTGTGAAATCTTGTTTCAGAGTAGCAACTCAGCAGATTACAGCAGGTCATCACCTGCCTTTCTTCAGCCTCTCTGCTCTGAACGTGGTCTAAAAGGGTTGTTTTACCTATTTTGCTTACACCACAATGGTCTGATGAGTACACAGGAAATGCAGAGGAAACAGATAGAAATCCAACTGCTACAGCTGCCTGTCAAGTCAGTATTTATTTCAGGAAATCGTTCTACCTATGTAAAAGAGGAAAGTAGCAGGTTCATTCTTCTCCAAAAACACATCTAGAAAAATGAAGAACAAAAGGTATGGATTTGGGCACCTTTTTAATAAAATCTTATAAATAAATGCTTGTTACCACCTGATCATTTACACACACTATTTCCCAGCCCATTTGGAATAATTTTATGAGTCAAACTACCTCTTGCATGAGTCCTCAGGATAGTCACTTCATTCAAAAGTGAAGTCAAGGTTTTCTTAACGTTAACCTGCTCCTCCGACCTGAGCAAGCTGCATTTCAGAACAGTATGGATTCCCTCCTTAGCAGAGATTTGGTGGGCCATTTTTCACATACACTAAGGAGCCCACCTGTGGAGCTGCAGCCCTATGTGTGGCCCATGACCCAGAGATACCTCTGTGTAACACATACTGCAAGGAGAGCTGCTAGTCATTGAGACAGAGGCATGCATGCTGCTTGTTGGGGCACAGCTGTAGGTTTCCATGTAAAATACCTGTGTTCTATAAAGAGCAAAACATGACAATTATTTCAACAGAGCTTAAGAAGCTTCTGTGTCTTCTGCATGCAATGACAAGGTAACCTTCATAATAACAATTACTCTAGAAAAAATAATCTCAAGAACATTCATCTTTCTTTGTTTCTTTTTCAGATCTTCATACCAATATAAAAAGGAAGGTGTTGCAGGATAGTAAGTGTTCTGTGTTTTGCTACTGAAAGAGGGCTAATAGACTGAGCTAACCCAGAAATCTCCTTCATTGGTTGTTTCTGGTTTGGTCTTAAGAACTTCACACCCATTAGAAGTCAGTCTTCATTCAAGTAATTAACAGAAGAGTGATGAAGTCAGTCAATTGGCTCAGAGGGACTATAAGAAACAATTTAATAAGTAAAATTGCCACGGCTGCTGCACATATACCACTCTCAGAAAATATCATGCAAGAACATGACTCCAACCTAAACTCCTCTCTGTACATATTGTACACACAAACTTACTCTCCCTACTAAGTAACTGACTGCAAAAAAAGACTTGGTTTCAGTAGTGACCATTCAAAGCTTTTTTTTTTTTTTTTTTTTTATGATGTTAGAAGGAAGTTTTGATAAAGTTCTTCAACACCAGAAGACAACAGAGCCCAAGGAAAGCTTGATATAACTGTTGAATTCAGGCATCAGTTGCCATACTTTGCCAGTAGCACTTTTTTGAGAACCTATAAACTTACCTGCTTAGTACAGAAGTGACAGAAACCCTGCATTTACAAAGAAAAGTTGACAGGAAGTTTGTGAAAAGTACACATTTTGTGAGCAGCCTTGACGTTGTGAGGAAGCACCAAAGCACTGCACAAATTACCACAGGACCTGATCCCTCAACTTCTGTGCCCAGACACAGCCTGTACAACCAGCTGCAGGACACTGAGGTGGTGTCCTTGCCACTCATTTGAAGTCTTGCTCTGTAACTTTGGGAAGACAGCATTTTGAAACAGTGAGGCAGGGGGACCACGATTTTGGAAGCAATGGAGAAGGGAAGGGAAATTATTTGTAAATCAGGAAGCAGATGAAAAGCAGGGTAGAAAGCTGCTACCTACAAGCAGTAAAAGCTACATACGCATAAGATCTAACAAGAAGGTGAATGCTGTTTGATGTCTGTGCTCAGCAGTGCTTACATCAGTGTTCATTCCCAGTCTTTCTGATTCATATGCTCCTGCTCTGACTCTCAGTCCTTTCAGTCAGCTGGTACTGATGGCACACACCAGCAAAAGTTGGTGTTTGTCAATTCCCAACAGAAACGCTGCAGCTGACAGCCTGGACTGGGCAACTCCATCTTTCTCCTAAGCTAGGGAACGATGCAAATGAAGTTGCAGTGGACAAAGCCAGGTGAGGCACGCAGACCCTCTGAGAATAGACCAACTGTGCTCCATATAGTGCTACCAGCACTGCTTCTCTGTCCCTCCGCCCAAGTTCCCTCATGTAAAAGGATGACTTACTGCTACAAAAAATGAAAACAAAGTTTTAAACGCTCACAAGGTAAGAAAAAACAGCAAAGAAAACAGATCTGTTCTCATGCCTGCTCATCTATTTTAAAAATTGTAACACTTTTTGCACAGTATTAACGTAACAAGTTCATAATACAGTTGGGAAAGCCAGTAACTATAATAACATGAGCAAACAATTTGCCACAATGCCACACCCACTTACAGAGGAGAAAAAGAGGAAGAAAAAAAACTTAAAGAAAAAAACAATTTGTATGAATGTTCACCTTTTGTAAAGATTTTGGCCAAGTATTTAAATCTCAAGGTGCACCAAGGTTACCAAACACACACACCAACGAGGTCTGAAATGGACAAGCTTTCAGTCAAAGAGTGACTGCATCAGGAAGTCAGCATTCACCAAAGAATCCATTTCAACATTTTTTATGGTTAACTCGGAGCACAGAAATGAAGGCAGTTATCTGAATTGCTTAGAAGGCTCTATTGTTCCCTCTTCCAAAGGATTTTTCCCCAGAAAAGAATGGGTGGTGTGTGCGCAGCAATGAAAGGTGGGGGAAGGGGAAGAGTCTTGGGGACGCCGAGAGAAACAGAAGCAGTTTTAAACATGGATGTCTTAATTCTAAATTAATTTCCTACCTCCCATTGCAAGTGAGGCGGGATGTTTCTGATCTGAAGTTTCCGACTCCTGCAAATTAATTAAAGAACACAGTTAATAAACAGAAATAAACACTGTTAGAAGGCAATCTATACACAGCAGCATCCATATTTAACCGTTTTCTACTAGGAGGGGCAAAAGCAAATGTGAAACATCAGATCAAAACCTGTGTGTCCAAAGAACTCTTGCAGTATATCTTGTTATCTGTTGGGCAGCTGCTGGGTTTTATGAATTGCTCACTTTTCTTGAAGACTATTTCTGTTTCAGCATTAAGGCCATCAGTATCCAACACCCTCCATTATGAACGGGTGTGATAACCCTGTGTATTTGTAATAGGTTCCCCTTCCCTTAAGATTTTTTTTTTTTAAATTCTCTGAAACGATCCTTTGGTATACTTCTGCCCCTTAAGGAAAGGGCCATAAACTTGAATAAATGCATCTACTCCAACACCACGCTCTTCATTAGCCTAACAAGGGGCTGTACTTTAACACATATGCCTGACATTCTTCATCTCTGGTTAGAGGACAGGAAGGGAAAGAACAATTTAATTGCATTTCGAGCCCAAATTTATATCATTTCCACCAATCTAGTGAAGAGAACCCACACTTTGAAGTGCTCCCGCCGAGCCGGGCGGCAGCGTGTTTGCGGCCTTCACAGCCAACTCCTTTGTCTCCTCCCTTCCCCCAAAGCGAGAGAACAAACAAATGCCAGAGATGCCAGCAGCCCCTGGGGACTCGCAGGAATGTGCGAGCGGCGGGGCTCAGGTAGGGCAGTGCCGCGGGGCAGCCCGGGGAGCGCGCCTGGGGCCGCGGCCACCGCAGCGACTCAATCCCGGTCCCGTGCTCCAACACGCACTTCTTCCCAGCGCTTTAGCTGCTCGGTGCTGACCCCTCACTGAGAAACCCGGCGCGTCTTAGGGACCCTTTTACGACGGAAGTTGGTGAATCTCACAAAGTCTTGCGACAAAGCAAGTTTCAGAGATGTCCTCGCCTGGCAACCTAATTCAGAGCCTCGGTTCTCCTCAGCACCGCCACTCACGTGCGGCCCCGCAACGAATGTTGTTTCATGGATGTTGGGCTTTCTTTTTTTTGCGTCGGGAAATGCTCCTCCCAATAGGCTGTGCTCTGGGTGCAGCTCGCGCTCCCCGCACACAAAGCTGCTCTGCTGGGAGGGCTCTGTGCGCATAGTTTTACCTCCAGAAGTGCACCCGAGCACCGTGCTTTCTCCACAGAGGAGGCAGCCTGCAGGGGCAGCACCTCGCGCTGCCCTCCGCCCCCCTCAGCAAAGAGCCCGTTCCTGCGTTTGATCACGATCACGTAAATCGGCAAAGAAGCGGCTGAGCAAAAACCCGGATCACACAACCCCTTTTAAGCTGTCATTTCCAATAAAGCAGAGTCAGGCACTGCGTTGTTGTAACGGAGGGGAGAAAGCTCCTCAGAGCCTGAAAACTTCTCTCAGCTGTGCTCTCAGCGAGAGAAACTGCTATGAAACGGCTGTGAATTAGAGACGCTGCTCTGAAACATCACGGGAATCTCACACAGCAACCTGGAAGCTGAACGCTCGCTCCTGAAGCGGAACAAAGAAGGGGACACTCATTCAATATTACAAATACTGGGAAATCGTAACGCTGAAAAATCCCAAACCACATCATTGGCAGTCAATACGCTATTCACTGCGTTTCCAATTGTGTCATGCCATCAGTCTCTCGCCCTCCTAGACCCAAATTAAAATTCATGAGGGTTTCGCAGCCAGCGGTGCCACTCGCAGAGGGGCCTGGGAACGCACGGTCCCAGCTGCGTGCTGAGAGAACCGTGCCCCATAGCCACCCCACAGCAAACAGTGGGGAGAAGGGGAGCATCCCATCCAGAAACATGCACACCGGTCCTGTACACCTCCCATTTACCTTCATAAGCAAAGCTGCATATCTGCTGGACCAGCTGACACACAAATGATGCACTGAAAGCACAAGCAGCAGCCTCTACACCCACTTAATGAAAGCACATAACACAAGCTTTTGGTGTTTTCTTTCTTCCTGCGTGGCTTTGAAGGATGGAGTGGTTTGATGCAAGTTAGAACTTTGCCAGCCAGCTTTCAGAGCACAGAAACAACTTGGGTATCCTGATAGGGATGAGTGGCACAGAAGAAACGCACCTCCCAGTTACACCTTCCTCCACCACACAGAGCAGAAGGAAATGGAGAGTTGCGTACAGAACGGGGACAGTCCTGCTGTGCACCTCAATTTGTGGCTATAGTGAGACACCTATTGTACAGAACTGAAAGGTCACTTCAAAACATGAGAGCAGCCACACGAACCATGCTGTTTGACGCTATTTACACCACAATCAGATGCCTGTCTGCACCACAAGCAATTTTAGCTCCGTACCCAATTCACAAGCTTTAAAGTGGCTGTCTGTTGGTGCATGTGAAAAATTAAAAAGAATTGGTGTTTTTTACATTATTGCTGTACTGCAACAAGCAAAAGGGGAAAGCAAACAAAGCCTTACGCAGACCAAAGGGGAGTTACACAGAACAGCATCAGGTAGAAAAGCATGAGATTTCTCTCTCGTGAAATTTGAGATTTCTCTCAGTTACTATCAGCTCCTACAGGGGAAAAAAAGAAAAACCAAAATTTCTTCCAGATACTGCCAGCCTATTTCCACCAGGTGACAAATCGTGCATCTGGTGCATGCTCCTTCTCTACTTCAAGCAAGCTTCTTATTTTATTCATGCATTCATACCTGGCAGCGCAAGTAGCCGTCAACTGAAGAGCCTTGGCAAATTGTGTTTCTGCTCCATACCTTTCAAAGCCTTCACGTGCTACTTGTGGTTTGCAACACATGAATTCGGCACATCGAATGTCTTACTGGTGATGAAAGCAGACTTCTCTGTTTCCTGAGTTGTCCATACTATTATTTGGAAAGACTTTTTTTTTTTTTTTTTTTTAAGCCCATTTGCAAATAGTCCAATTCTCTTTTCCAGGAACTATGTAGGTAAGTGGTTTGTTACTCCAGCCCACTGCTGGTTAGTGCAGACATGCTAACACATCTATTCTGTGAACGCTGAGGACACACAGCCTTCACTGTGGGAGACACATGCTTGCACTGAGAGCAAGAAAAAAAGGTGTCATTGCCCCTTTACATGGAAAGCAGCATTTGTGCCCTATGTGCACACAGAGACAGAAACAGCAAAGTAGCATCAGATAGATCATATACAAAAGATGCTGTTAGTATTCTCTGGAAGAGCAATTTCTTCTAAGAAAATTCAGAAAACAGGCCCATGGTCATCTTGCCAATGTCCAGAACCCGTGAGAACCCTCACATATCAGAAATAACATTAACCATGTCTTGGGAAAGTGGGGAAGGGAACCCCACAGTTTCAGCATTTGTTAATGTGGACTCACCATCCTTCTCTCTGTTCTACCACATACGCTTGTTTTCCCCTTCCATCTACCATTGGGTGCACAAAAGACCCTTCTTCCCTTCAGGGATTTTTTGTTTGTTTGTTTGTTTAAATAAGAACAGAATAGATGCATTTATAAGGTAAAAAACAACAACAACAAAACATTAAAATACCACACTTTTAATTAGAGTTCTTAACTTTTTGTGCTAAAGGGCATCTTACAGATCTCCCCAAGTCTGACCAGCATGGAGAGAAACACACACACTAATATAAGTAACCGCATTTCTGCATGGTCATTGTGCCCACACTCACCACAGACCCTTCTCTTCATCCCGCCACCCCAAAGCCGCTGCCATCTTCTCTTTAATTCCCATTTTTCCACAATAACCCCACACAACACTCAGTTTTAATTGAGCAGACAACGAACTGCCTTCATCACACTGTTAATGCTTAAAAAAAAAAAAAAAAAAAAAAAGCACAAAAGCACAGAACTACTCTTTAGGCATTTCTGTGGAGCAAGTTAAACATGTTTAAGAAGAGACTGGGTGAACATCAGTGACATCAGTCCATTCAGTTGTTAGAATTCAATACCTATGGGGTGGAAAGTAAATTGTCCACCTTCTCTACTCCAAGGATTGGGCACTGGGCAAGCACACATCCATCTCATTCACTTCAGGTAGGCACCATTCTAGGACAGGCTACATGGGAAAAGCCTTGGCACATCACTCCACGGGCACAGCTGCAGCGTGCACCACAATCTATCAGCACTGAGAGCCACAAAGAGAAAACTATTTTGGTGTAAGAAGCCTCAATGTGATCAACTGCAGTTACAGGATTAGTGACTCCTATGCCCAAATGGAAAACTGCTGCTACTGAAATCAATTTGTGGGAGAAGGAGAGAAGATACCTTGGTTACTCTGCAACCATCAGAACAAAAATGGGCAAATAAACCTCAAAAAGCGACACACACACACAGTTTATTAGTTTGTTCCCCTAGATTGCCTTCAAGCAGGCAATGCTGTACCACAACAGAGTGAATCAGTGTTCAAAATGTCTTTCTAGTGCAAAAGTACTAAATAAAAGAGTCCTTGACTCTTAATATTAGTGTGGCTGAGGAACAGAAAAAAAAGGACAGGACTGAGCACCCATCATTGGTAATAAATCTGAGTAAAACTTCTAAACCATTTTTCCACATACCTTAAAAATATATGCAGTTTTATATATAATGGTATTTACAACTGTGTGTATAATATAAAGATACTCATCAAATTTTGTATGTAAAGCATTTAGTCCTAACAAGTAGTTCGGGTACCTGCAAAAGCACGTGGTCACATTTGTTGCTCAAAAATAAAAAAAATAAAAAAATAATAAAAAAAAAAAAGCACATGTAACTTCTGTTAAAAACACTCAGTAAAGTGACAAATTGAGATTTTTATATTACTTCTATTAAGAGGTAATTAATTTCTAGAGTATATTAGAAGGCATGCTAACGACACCACTGCTGTATTTTATCTAAGCAAGCCATCAGCTTGTGAACCAGAAATTTCCTCTTGCTGCCTTACTGGATAAGAAAGGGGAATGGTTTCAGGTACCAACTTGTTAACAAACATCACCTCCTTCTATTTCAATGC